AAGCCTCCATTGCCATCGTGAGTCCCAGCAGTGGTGCCGTTGGACAAGGCTAGGCAAGCCCTACAGTGTTCTAGAAACGCCATTTTGCCTCGGTTATCTGCTGTCAGTCTACTCTTTTCTTTTTTTTATTTACTTCAGAAATGAGTGCTAGTCGACAGCAGTTTACGATAGGCTTCAAGAAAAAGGTTATCTAGTATGCTGAAGCGCACGGCAAGCTGACGGCACAAGGGGAATTCAGTGCATCAGAGAAAAGCGTACAATACTCGAGGAGCCAAAAGCAGTGCATCACATCCTGCACCAACAAACAAAAAACATCATTTTGGAGGGACTACAGTGCACCCCAAACTGGAAACGCTACTTGCCGAATTCGTCTTGGAGCTGCGTGCAAGGTTGCTACCCTTATGGTGCATTCAGACGACGGATCGAATCCCGATGTGGCGGGACGGACGGCGCGTCACGTGACCTCACATCAGCGATTCCCCTCATCCGCGACTCGTCCGCGCGGCTCGCGGACGGATGAACCCAACCTGTTTCTCACATCGGGATTCTGGCGGGGAGAGCCGGTACTTCAGCGGATTAGCTCGGGGTCGGTGGCAACCAGTACACTTTTCGTCTGCTCGCGGCATGTCCTCTATGGCTCGCGGACAGCTGCGTGACTGGTCGGCATCATCTGCGCTTGAGCATTGTTTACTTAGTTTCTGGAGACTTTGTTCTCAGGTGATTAAATATGCAGAAATCACTTTTGGTGGTTCGGGAAATGTCGCCGCCGTCGCTCAACACGCGAGATTAATCTTAGCCGTCATGGTGGTGAAATATTCTAACTTTTGCAACCGGCGACGTGCCGCTTCTAAAAAAAGGCGGGAGACACGTTTAGAAGTTCTACAAGTGGGGAATAATGTAGTTGAAAGAATATCCTGCTAGCAACTCCATTTTCTCCTGAAAGAATAACACTACTCGTTCATTTGTCACAACACGACAGACATCGCAGCCAAGCTTCGCTTCTTGCGGGCATCCATGTTGAATACTCTCAAACCGGTCTGCTGCCAGCGGGCGCAGGTGAGCGCCGAATCTGCTGTCGAGGGTAATCCGGCTGTTTTCCCCTAGGATACAGTGTACTAGAATAGAGGCAGTGTGCTCACAGGCGGCGGTGGGTGACCCACTTCGTGTCGACGCCGAGAGGCGGCGCGGTTCGCAGCGTCACCTGAAACTCCTTTGCGCGCCGAAGTAGAGAGCCACAGTGCAATTGTTGAAATGCCAGAAATTATGCAACGTTCGCGACATGCAATGCACGACACTTCTTTTGGGGCATCTTATCAGTGTGCAGGGCGTGAAGCAACTGACATTGTATTATTTTCCGGCCGTTTAAATGTTCAAAGTGGTTTCGCTAATGCAGCGGTCATGTCGACTGCAGTTCCGAGGTGCGAAAAACACTACGCACTTTTTTTTTTCGCAATGTCAGAATTAAAATTTTGGAGTTTAACGGGCCGAAGCCACACTTCCGCTATGAGGTGCGCCATAGCGGAGGGCTGCAGGTTAATTTAGATCCCTTTAGAATTTTTAACATCAGCCGAAATGCCGACACGGCTTGTTTCGTTTTTCTCCTCCGTCAGGAGAACAGCCACCGCGGCTAGGATCGAACACACGTCCTTGGGTTCAACAGTACAATGCCTTAGACAGCCTCCACGCCGGGTTTTTCTTGATTACGTGCCTGCTGCAGAAATGCACGCCCTAAACCCAAACTTTAACCACCGTGACAACCACGCACGACGTTTAACATTATAGCATCGCTGCTTCGAGACTTTAGGTGATGATTGGTGTGTGGCGTGATTCTTGCTGTAAACAAGACGTAGCATCATTATTATCAACAGCCTGTTAGGTCCTGCAGGACGGAGACCTTTTTCATTGATTTACACCCGCTCCTGTCCTTCACTGCCAGAGTCCATTCCATTCATTGCCTCTGAATTTTCATATTTCGTGTATCCATCAAGTTAATGATGTAGCAAATTAAAAAGAAATGATAAAGATCTATGTAAATTGATGAAATAATGTTTATTTACAAATAAGTGATGAAAGAATTTGCACAAGAAATATTAGGGTAAAAAAAGGCTGAATAATGGCAAATCGAGACATTTACACATTGACATGCACCATTACTTGGAAGGAGTCTTTAAACAATAACAAAACGACAAGCAATGCTCGGGCTCCGCTGGAACTTTATCCTGTGTGAAGTCGCAGTCCTCCCCTGAATCACCAATAGCAGCCCGTGGAAATTCAGTACAGTCAGTCTCGAGAGCACTTCGGATCTTTTTCTTTGCGGCTGCATGGTCATTTTCGCACATCTTCCTTTTAGCTCTCGGTTTTGGCATCTTCTTCGTGAGGTACTGCGGCAAATTTGGAAGAATCGTGGGGACGGAGTTTTCCGACAACATCGGTTTATCACGAGGAATGCGTACCTCTTTGCCATCTATATGGTGCACGAACTCCTTGATAACGAACCTCGGTTAGAAATGCAGTTCGCAGACCGCAGAAAACTCATCCAGTTTCTTATCTGCACGGTGGAGATTTCTTTCCCACTCCTTCCGCCGTTCTTCATCACGCGGGACGCTGAACAAAGACGCCTGTAGTGCATCCTGCACACGACTGTACCCGGTTCGACAACCGGGCGCAAAACAGTAATTTCGACGGCGGTTAGGCATCTTCACGAACACATACTACACAATAATCCAAGCATAAAGCACAGAACACGCACACGGGGTACCCACGTTGATCCAATCGAACCGATCGAACTGAACTGAGCGAACCAGCCCCGTCCGCCAACACGGCCAACACGAACCGAGAGAAATTTTTCAGGTGCGTCAAGCGTCAGCGCCCCTGGTGGGCATCGTGAAAGTCGACACAGAGTGCGCTACGGCGGAGCGCCGCAAGGATAGGGCAGTGAGCACACTGCTTCTATTCCAGTACACTGTGCCTAGGACACCGTCCGTCGTGTGGATGCGCCTGCAGGCGGACCATCCGCGGATTAGCTGTCCGCGTCCACGACAAATCCGGATTCGGTCCGTCGTCTGAATGCACCATTAACAGCAGAGTGCATCTGCGTAAAAGCTATCGAAATAGCGCGTGACTCTGTGCTCACGAGGGAGCCATTCAAGGGATCATCATCGTGAATGCACCTATTTGTGAAGCAGAAGGGCTTCGCACATAGGCGGCATACTTCAGTCTTTCTGCTAATGCTGCATCAGTAACGCATTGGATGGAACGGGGGATGATGCTCTCTGGGACATTAATAGGGAAAAATGGACGTCGTCGGGCTCAAGTTCGGGGAAGTCCAAGTGACAGCACTTTGTGGCCTTCCGGCATATAACTACATAATATTAGTGTCCAAATACTAAAAAGAAATGTCACAACAGTGCAGCTGGTAGTGTTGCGTATTTACCGTATTTACTCGATTCTACCACGCCCTCGATTCTAACGCGCACCCGGTTTCCACGACGAAAAAAAAAAAGTAAGACATCGATTGTAACGCGCACCCATTTTTCTTGTTGGCACACAGGATCACACCTCTCAGGAAAAAGACTCTTTTCGGGAGCGTCTTCCGTTTAAATATGAGGTACGGGGGAAGCTTGTGCCTATCTGACATGCAACGGAGCATTGCCGTCACTCTAGTTTTACCGTGGCCCAATGTCAGCACGCGAACTTGCTTCGCCCCCTTCTTCTCGACGGTTGTGGTGCCAGGCATGTCGAAGGCATGCCAGGCATGTTGCCCAAGCAGGGAGCCGTTGTTGTGCCGCAAGTTTAGGACGAACCTCTGAAAACTGAAGCTTTCTTCGCACTCCTCCGGCAACTTTTGCCATATGCCCATTCGCCTTCAGAGGGAAAAGCCTTGAGAGAACTTCATACCATGAAGAGAACTTCATAAAGTTAGTTAGCCAGCACCTGCTCGCTTTAAACTGGCTCCGCATTAGCCCTTTTTCTAAGGCTAACTGCATAGCCTGCACTTGGAGCAGTTCTGTCGTCACGGGCCGCTGTGCCGCTCACTGCTCAATCACATACTCGCCGAGCAGCTCTTCAATTTGTGGAAACCGACCCTGCTGTGGTCCGCTGAAGCCTTTGCGTGAATCTTTGCTGTCGACAATATTCTGCTTTTGTTTCCGCCAGTCCCGCACGCATGTTTCGGGAACTCCGAACGACCGCGATGCAGCCCGACTTGCGTCCGTTTCGGCACACGCGATGACTTTTCTTTTAAAAGCGGCATCGTGGTGCACTCGTCGAGTTTTTGGAGTCGGCCCTTCCATGCCGTCAATGCTAATGCACACCAAGACGACGAACTCCTCAGCGCACGTACGAAGTGCCGCACATGGGAAACACATAAGCAGAAATGGCCGACGCGCCATGCCGACGCACGTAGGGGCGGCGATTTTTGAATGCAGATGGCAATAGAATGACCGTATTCACTTTTTTTCGTACTTGATTCTAACGCGCATGCCATTTATAAACTCGCTTAACCGGAAAAAAGGTGCGCGTTAGATTCGAGTAATTACAATACCAAGGTAAGAGTGCGCCGCTATACTTTGCAATTTTTATTAAAAATTCCTTTCAGTGATTCAAAGTTTAAGGGGTTGACCTATGTTCGATCTGACCTATACTCTTGTTTTTATAGTACCTAATGCCAAAAGTGCTCCCCAAAACATTTTTTGCTAAAAAAGTTTACTGCAAGTTTATGTAAATTTTTTTGGAAAGCTCGAAACCATGGCTTTTAAGACATCTAGAAAAATTCGTTCATCCTAAATTAGGTCAAGACAAATGCTTACCTTTAGAACAATAGTTAGCGTTTTACTTAAAATAATCTTTACGAACATGAATAAGTTTTACTGGCCAACAGGGAATGATACGCCAGACTGGTCAACATTTTTCGCTCTTCCATTTCTCACATAAAGCTTTGAAACGTGAAGGTTCCATGTAGTTCTTTGTGTGGTGGTAATGTTGTTTTATTTGCCTTGCAGAGAAATATGCCGAACAGGAGAGGCAACGTGGCATGTCTGATCCACTTGCTCCCACGATGCTTGACATGGTACAGCAGCAACAGCAGGCGCCGCCATCGGCAGAAGCCATGATGGCAGTAGCATTCCCACCAGCGGTAGCTGCAGCCGGGGCCCCCACCGCTGTGGCCATGGTGCCTCCACCTGTGCCCCAGTTCAGCATCCCATTGCCACCAGGTGAGCTGTCTTTTTGTTCGCTCATTTGCAGGATCTACAGTAGACTCAATGGAATTCTCCTAAAGAGACCCTGAAAAGATAATTTGAAATTTTTTCAATCTTTAGGCTAGAGCATTTTCGAACCATTGATTCGCACCACACATTTAAGGGGGGGACACTGTACTTGAGAAGAAATGCCAGATATTTTCATGTGTTTATAAGGTAAATTCGCAGTGTGATTGAGTTTTTGATGCTGATTCCAAAAATGTAATTACTTTTCCTCCAAACCAATAAGTTTTTTAGATATCCTGAAATTATTTACCTATTGTTTGCCGGTATAATGACACAATAAATTTTATTGCAGAGCTACTATTGGCATATTCCTGTATACTAATGAACATAAGCCACACAGCGCCAGGAGTGCTTTTTTGATTTGATAACTTCAGCAAGGTTTGTCGCACCTTGAATTTCAGTGCCGCCAACACACCCACTTTATGGCCCAATTTCTGGCAAAAATAAAATGTTTGAGGATCTCAATCAATAAATTGACACCTATCATTGTGTAAACTACTAAAAATACAGCTACAGTTGAACCCCACTGCATCGAAACTGAAAGGGCGCGGAAGAAATTTCGTTGTAGTGAAATCGAAAAAATATAGCCGATCTGAATTAGCAAATTAAAGATCGTTTATTCTCAATTCAAAAAGTGTCCTCTGCATTTTATTCCATCCTAGCAGCGTCACGGCGTGATTCTCACCTATGCATAACCAGGCCATGGTGAAAAGCACGTTGAAACGAGGACTACAACCGCTTTCGTGAACGAACCAAACAGTTGCATTAACACGTTAACACCAGCAGCTGTCTGCTGTCAAAATGCCGAGATGGCAGCAGGGTATCGTGGAGTGGTGACTTCTGCCTTACTTTATGCCATTCTTATCATCCATCACCGCGGCTAGCTGATTGTGTTGATAATGCGGACGAACAGCCGCTCTGATTAGTTACCACACTGGCAAAGCGAGAACAAAATGATAAGCATTAGAATCGGAAAAGGCATTGTTCCGCAGATGCACCAGCGCGAAAGAAACCATGAATTGAGCAAATGAGCTGCAGCTTCGGATCGTCTGCGGCTATACAGTAAACCCAATCTAACATTTTTAGCATTTTCAGAACCTGAAAATACGTCGACGAAGTAGAGAACATGCGTTGGCTCCACCAAAAACCACCGCTGTTAAGCAAACATGGGCACCGCCATTGCTCAATAGCGATGGCAATGAGACTGCTCTGTTTTTGCCAGTGACAAAAGCAAGGCAGTCTCATTGCCATCGCTACCGAGCAATGGCGGCGCCCATGATTGCTGAACAGCGGTGGTTTTTGGTGGTGCCAACACATGTTCTCTACTTCGTCTTCGTATTTTCAGGTTCTGAAAATGCATCAAAATGTTAAAGATTAGGTTTACTGTATAGAAATAGATATCTGAGCCTGGAATAGCATTGTGAAATTTTATTGAAGCAAGACGGTAGAAGAAAAAGTGTTCTTTGTGGTGACAATATTTATGCATTGACTCCTATGGACTGCCATACCTGCCAAGTATCCCGGATTGGCCGGGAGACTCCCGGATTTTGACCGTTTTTTCCAGTTGTATGGTTGTCACGAAAATCTCCCGGAAATCAAAATTTCTGTGCATCATGGGGCCTCATTGATGAAAAGGCAGCTCAATCGGGTCCAGGCTTTTCAAATTTACCTCATTTCATTGTAAATCAGTTTAAGAGGCGTTCATCTAAACGTACAGTATAATGTAGCAGTTTGGGCTAGTTGGTATGACATGAGGATAGTTACAGCGTGAAAACAGGACGACAAAGCGCTCGTGTCCTTCTTGTCTCTTTGTCATCGTTCTGTTATCACGCTATAACTATCGTACAGTACAATCTCAGTGATGCGAAACCACGGCAGATACGAATTCTTGAAATTCTTCAGCCCAATTTTACTATGTTCATTGGGTCTCAATTCGATTGTTCCGAAGACATTTCCTAATCGCAGTGGGTGATACAAACTTTAGTTTGGAAACCGTCGAACGAAGGCCGAGAGCAGCGTACTCGGAAGCTTTGGAAGTACGCGTCCGACCGGCACACGCACTGTCTTCTACAGTGCGTGTGATTGTCGTTGCCACAACTGCTGTGGACGAAACCACGGTCGCTCTTGACACGGTCACGTATGGCGACGACGTGACTGACAGAACCTCGAAAGTGTGCGCTCAGCCAGTCGAAGCAACGCCTCTCTACAAATTCTGCGTGGACAAAACTGCGACAGATGCTATCGTAGATGGCATAAAACGACATAGTTTTGAAGGCGCATGCGCAGCCAAGCGCAGGGCGATTGTAAAATAAACTACCGCTTGCCGCAACCGCCGCGCACAAAACCGCAGTCGCCGAGAGCAATGTACGAGCTTTGAGGGCACGCAGCTGTATTTTAAAAGCAGGTAATACGTAAAAAGTTTTAAAAAAAGTTGCAGTTTCGTCGCAAAGGCGAAGCAATAAATGCGACAGCTACAACTTGGAATGTAACGCTGAGAACGGCTAGCAGATCGGAACGTGCTGTGCGTTGCTCACACACAAATGACGCACGAAAATGATACTCGCAGGACGAGAGCGAATTAACAACATTTATTGCTCGACACTTAACGCGCTGATTAAATAAAAACAATGCACGATACGTAATCACAGGTACCGATAAGTACAAATTAACAAGTGTCCCAGTTGTTATACCTCGCTGTGTACGAAAAGCGCGCTTTTTTCGCAAAAGGGGCCTGTGCAAAAACCAAAGTTACCTCTGTGGACCCGGCAACCAACGCTTTCCTTTCAGTGAAAGCCGAAGGCACACGATTCCCCCACCAAAGAATAAGCGCGCGCACACCATCTATCCTCCCTCCCCCCACCATCCATGGGGCAAAGTACACGTGAGAGAGAAGCAGGTGGCGGCGCATCTGGATGAGTTCTGCACCGAGCGCGGGTGGCTTTTTTTCTTTGAGTGTTCATATATATAGATACGTATACATATACAATGAAGGATGGTGGCGGTGGCGACGGGAAAAGAAGCAGCCTGAACTGTTCATATAAGTGCTATCGCAATAAAAGGGGGCCATGCGCGTTTTGGCGTTCCTGTCGAAAAATCTATTACTGAGCAAATCTTTGACCCGCGCTTTTGCGGCAGCCAGCTGCGCCATCCCGTCTATTCACGTGTGTCTCAGGAAGACACACGCAAGTTTTTTTTGTCCGAAATAGATAGATTCTGCTAGTTGTGTTGATCCTTTGAGACTCTCACCTTAGTGAAAAGCTCTACCCTCGTGTGTTCGGCTACTCCTAGCCACTATAAGACTGCAACGCTGATGTTGGCGCTTGCGATTGAGACCCCCCCTCCTACCTCCTTTCGTTTTTTGCAATGTTTTTTGTTTGTTTTCCACTCATTTTTTAGTGCCCCCCCCCTCCCCCTTGTTGTGGAAATCTCCGGGATTCAGAATCATTGACCTTGGCAGGTATAGAATGCTGGCGGGGACGCGTGAATTTTTCGTTGAAGCGGCGTTCGTTGTAGCGGGGTTCAACTATACATGTCACAACAAAAATGACAGTCCTAGCTGCTCTAGAGGGAGATATATTTATTAGACAAGTTTGCAACTGCAGCGAAATTTGAATCCTGAGAAGTCATGCAAGAACAAAAGTCCATTTTGGGCAGACAGAAGCATGGAAAAGCTGTTTATTTACAATGATTCGCAAATTTAGCTTTCTCAGTAGGCACCAGGCATCTAGTCCTTCTGTTTTGCGTCACCTAAGTGACGTTTTTTCAATGCCCACTGCATGTTTTCCGCAGAGGCACACTTGCGAGCTGATGTGGTCGCCTTGGTCTCGTCTGCCAACTAGGCCGCTTATCAGTTCGGTGGCGCCTATGTGTGACGAATGTGCGCATGTCATCCGTGATCCGTCGTATGATAAAGCAATGTTTTCCTGCTTGTCCAGATTGAGTTGTTGATGTCGCAGACCGAACTCTCGCGCACTCGCTCATCAATTTCAAAGCTGCAAGAGCAGCGAGAGGTTAGGTTAGACCCAGTGCACCCGGTAGAGCGCGCATGTCTGGCAACAGAGTCTGAAAATTGCGATGGGCTTGATATCTTCTCTGACAGTTGCCCCCATCCTACCAGCCAATCTTAGGCACAGATCATATCAGCAGCCTGGGTGACGTCGCTCTACCAGAGAAGGTCGTACTGGGGATAGTTAGTTGAAAACGCGTCTGGCTGAACAGCAGTGATCTGTTTCCATTCGCAGCTTACATAGTTTATGCAGAAACCTCAAATCAGTCTGTAAATGACCCTTAGGACTTGGTCTATCGACACAATGTGTTTGTACAAAATCATCTTAACCATTTCAGGTTTCTTGGAATTTAAGGAACTTCTTTGAATGTAGCAACTGCCTCTAATATGATTGCTTTCCTACAGTTAACATGCACCCCTGCTCATTTCTCTGTAAATGGAGCTTTTTCCTTTTTTTTTCCCCTTCAGGTTTTGTTTGAGATTCTACTGCATATACAGTGGAACTTCGATTGCTATTTCAGCAATCAACATCGACTTAATATTTGCCTTTACTGTCTCTTTAATATACATTGGAGTAGGTGCTTTTATGGCTTTGCAACTCCAAACTGCAGTGAAAATGCTTTTACAGGGGTTACTTGCGGATTAATATACACCCATTCGTTCATTTTGACTGAAAACTTCATTAATTTAAGGGGAGGTGCTACTCGAAAAGGGTTTGGTTTTATTTCATGTCCCAGCTCCTTGTACATTTTGATAGTAAAGCTGCAAATATTTTTCTGATAGCTATAGTAGTTCTGGAGTTACTACAACTTTGATATCAAAATATAGGGTTTTTTGTGCACACAATAAAGTTTACTAAACATTTTCACGCAGAATTGCAAAATGGCTCATTTTGCTGCACTTGAGCTGTACAATACAGAAAAGTACCTCAAGTAGGAAATTT